GGTCCATTCAGCGTTCCTCGTGAGATCCTCTCCGCTAACGGTTGGCCGGGAGTTCTTGACTGCCTTGACGAAATCCTTCAGAGCGAGAGGTGGCTCCAAAAGCTTATCTGCATCGATATCGAGCCAGCTCATTTCCACTGCGCCCTCATCCCCTGGTGAGCAAGGCGTGACTTTCTCTACACCCTCATCGAGTACCTATGATGGAGTCGGGTCAGTCGCTGTGGTCTGGGACGGTGAGAACTGAGTATACATACCTTCTTATAATGTGTTGCTCCTTGAATCTTGCGGATTGGCTGCATTAGTGCATCCTGCACGCAAATACTAATATCGCTACCGGAGTAGCCTTCGCTCAGATCGGCCAATTGGCGATAGTCGGTCTGGGTCATTTGACACGGCGTCGAGCCCACGGCTAGCATGAACATCTTCATTCGTGCATTGAAGTCGGGAAGACTGATGTGTATTCTTCGCTGGAATCGTCGCCGAATAGCAGCATCCAGTTGCCAAGGGATATTGGTTGCGCCCAAAATCAAAACGCCCTTCGAGTCTTTGCCGACACCGTCCATCTGTACAAGCAATTCGGTCTTGATACGCCGTGAGGCCTCGGACTCTCCTTCGCCACGGGGTCCGCACAGCGCATCGACCTCGTCGATGAAGATAATCGCGGGCTTATTCTCACGGGCCATGTTAAACAACTGTTTCACAAGTCTAGACGCGAATTAGTATGCAACTCTCGAAACTCCCGTAGATAAAGATATCGCATACCTTTCACTCTCACCCATCCACTTCGAGACCAGGTCACTACTGCTGACACTGAAGAATGTGCTGTTTGCCTCAGTTGCCACGGCTTTGGCAAGATAAGATTTTCCCGTGCCTGGAGGACCGTAGAGCAAGATACCCTTCCAGGGTTGGCGCTTGCCAGTGAACAAATGAGGGAACTTGATGGGTAGAATGACTGCTTCCTTCAATGCTTCCTTTGCGTTCTCCAGGCCAGCAACATCTTCCCACTTGACGTTCGGCTTCTCCGACAGAATAGCTCCTTGAAGCGCCGATCGAAGCTTTTTCGCATCCGCATCTTCGCCGTTGTCGTCATCTTCCTTCCTGTCCGATTCAGTGTTGTTAGCGGGAATACATAGGACAAAAGCTCACTTGCTAACACTGTTTATCACACATATGGCGGTGCTAAAACATAAACTTTTGTCCAAAGAAGTTGATACATACCCTCCCTTCCCACTGCCTTGCGCCACCTTTCCATTTGCGCCAACCGCACTCGGTTTTTTCCGGTCCTCAGCGAGGTGGTTCTTAAGCTTCTCCGCGCGATCCATATATTCGCCGGCCTTTGAGCGGATCATTTCCTTCGATTTCGGGTTCTTCTCCCATTTCAGGGCCAGCATGAACAACTCCAATGCGGAGTAGTACATCTGATAAGCCTTTTCGTACTCGCCATCGTTGTCATTCTCGATCGCCTTCTTGACCGTATCAATCGCCCGTCCCAGGAAATCTGTATTACTCATGACGGGCAATGCGGGTGCTGTCTGTAGAGGTAGCAAGCCGACCGCGGAGGCAGATGTGATAAAGCGGGGAGAGGGGAACAAGGGTTAGGGCAATGGGCCAAGGCTGGAAGGATAGGCAGCGAGTGCCAGAAGAAAGACTTGGAGCTTCTTGGGTGTAGAAGAAAAGAAGAAGTGCAAAACAGTCCTAGAATCGAGAGTTGATGAGAATTGGAGGGGAAAAGTGAGAGGTGGAAGTTGTTGACGGGCGGGATCCATTGATTTTCCCTCCTCCCACTTCACCTCCAAGTTCACCATGGACGCCCAGAAACAGCTTCAAGCACTTTCGGAAGAGTTCCAGGGACTGCAGAACGGTATGTCTCTATATTTATTTGATGATAGCAATAGCTGCTGACCTTTTCCACCACCCAGAGCTTGAGGTTCTGGTCGATGCTCGCCAGAAGCTCGAATCGCAGCAGCAAGAGAACGAAGGCGTGCAGGCTGAGTTCGTCCAGCTGGACGATGAATCCAACATTTACAAGCTCATCGGCCCGGTATTGCTGAAGCAGGAGAAGACCGAAGCCACCATGGCCGTCAACAGTCGGTTGGAGTTCATTGAGAAGGAGATGTTAGTGCCACTTCCTTGACCACTGTGAGCCAACGAGAAATGCGTGCTGACTGAGATGTTACAGCAAGCGAATCGAAGGCGAGATTGATGCGACACAAGACAAGAGCGAGAAGATGCGCTCAGAGGTAAATCGCCCTCATCCAACTGCAATCCACACCCCACTATATGCATATTCTAACCCCTCACCCAGCTCATCCAACTCCAAAGCCAGGTTCAACAACAGGCTGCTGCTGCTTCAGCCTCCGCATAAGGCCAAAGAACTCCTAGAGCCTGCAGGTGAAAAAGGATATATCACCCGGAGATGCAATAATATGTGGCGTGCGAGCTACGACTAGGATGGGGACCAACCCTCAACCGTTTCACTGTGATTCAGTACATGCGATATGCAAGTCGTGAGCCCCATTTGGGGGTAGCCCAAGGAATGTTTGGGCGTTAAGGACCAAATCCCAATTGAGATGGGGTAGCTTGGAAATGTATGATTTGTGCAGTTGCCTGACACCAAAACAGCGCATGGATCGGTTCAAAAAAGATATACCCTTGAAAATTTAATGCAATGCTGTCAAAAGTGATCGATTGATCTTTGAATGAATCAAAAAAAATATATATTTGCACGATCTTTTCTTAATGCCTTCTAGTGAGAAGATTTGAAATAGTATTCAATTTATATCGAGGACGCATGTGATTGCACTCAAGAAGGCCATCTGAAGCACGCAAAGAAGCTAGAGGATGGATGACTTCTGATGCCATGTGTATATTGACAAAATTCTATTCGTTGATTCATAATCAAACATTTACATATGGGAAACTTGATCTAGGACTTGACCAGCAGACTGGTACCGGTCATCTCCTTGGGTTGCTCGACGCCCATGGCTGCGAGAACGGTAGGTGCAACATCACCCAAGACACCGTCCTTCTTAAGGCTCCAACTCTCAGGGGCGTTGGCCATAACAAAGGGAACCTTATTAAGGGTGTGGGAGGTCTTGGGGGTACCCTTCTCGGTGAGCATCTCCTCGGCGTTTCTGTGAATGTGGGTTAACTAGCAATCCTCTTTGATAGGAGGTGATCGTATTTCCCAGAATAACTTACCCATGATCGGCGGTGATGAATAGAACGTAGTTGTTCTTCTTGCAGGCCTCATAGATCTCACCAATCGCCTTGTCGGTGGCAGCAACACCCTGGATGGCGGCCTCGTACACGCCAGTGTGGCCAACCATGTCAGGAGGGGCGAAGTTGTTCATGACAAAGTCGAACTTGTTCTCGCCGAGGCGTTCAGCCATCTTATCACCGACAGCAGCTGCACTCATCTTTGGATCAAGATCGTAGGTAGCAACTCGGGGCGAAGGGATCATATCGCGCACTTCTCCGGGGAAGACCTTCTCGATACCACCGTTGAAGAAGAAAGTGACGTGAGCATACTTCTCAGTCTCCGCAATATGGCACTGCTGGAGGTTCTTCTTGCCGAGCCATTCGGCCAGCACGTTACCCATATGTTGCGGGGGGAAAGCAACATTGAAGTTGTAGTCAGTTTTGTACTGGGTCATGGTGGTAAGGGAGATGTTCTTGGGGTAGGGGAAGTCCGGAAGGGGGGAACGGTCATAGTCGCCCAGCAGCTGAGTGATTTCACGGACACGATCCGAGCGGTAGTTGAAGAAGAAGAGGGTATCATCATCTATACAGGCTCAATTAGTTGTCATGGCATTTCCTTTCAGTTTGGACCAAACGCACCCTGGACACGGCGCTCCTTGCCGCCAACAATGATGGGCTTCAGGAACTCATCGTTCTCATTCTTCTCGTAGCGCTCCTTGATGGTCTGTAGCGGGTCCGAGCTGTCCTCGCCCTCGCCAGTGACCAGACCCTTGAGGCCAATCTCAACACGCTCCCAGCGCTTGTCGCGGTCCATGATATAGTAGCGGCCCACGATAGTCGCAATCACACCGACACCGATCTCCTGGGTCTTGTCAAGCACTTGCTGCAAGAACTTGTCGGCGCTCTTAGGGTCGGTATCACGTCCATCGGCGAAGAAGTGGATGAAGACCTCGGGAATCTGCATGTCCTTGGCGACCTGGAGCAAGGCGAATAGGTGAGCGATGCTGGAGTGAACACCACCATCTGAGACCAAGCCCAGAAGGTGCAGACGTCCATTGCCCTCCTTTGCGCGAGTGAAAGCCTTGACAATGCTGGGCACCTTGCCCATCTCGCCCTTCTTGAGGGTCTGGTCAATGCGAACACTGTCCTGCCAGACAACACGGCCAGCACCAATGTTCAGGTGACCGACCTCACTGTTGCCCATCAGACCCTCGGGCAGACCAACTGCCAGCGAGGAGGCTTCTAACTCGGCATAGCCTTGGGCAGTCTTGGAGTTGGGCTCAGCGAAGCCGGACATGTGTGGGGTATCGGCCGCGGCGATTGCATCTCCCTGGGGTGGGGAGTCGGGGCCTGCAATACCCCAGCCATCAATCACAACTTTGAGACGTACATTAGCGGTATATCTTTTTGAGGACCTGGGTGGCAGTCGACCATACTCAAAGCAACTTTTTGGTCGGCCATAGTGGGGTTTATTATGGTGGCTGAATCACACCTAGAATTTTACGACACTGGTCAATTTCTGGGCCAAGAGAAAATTTGAACGATTCACTTACTTTTAGACGGATGTTTAGAGAAGAAGAATTTGAACGACTAACGCAGATAAAAGGCTGCCGGTGAGGGGCATGAGCCCCGACGTCACCGTCACCGGGTGCCAGGAGCGTATTTGCTGATCTAATCATATGTTGCGGCCGTAGGAGCGGGTGTGTCCTCCGACTCTTCCCTAAAAACTTACCCCAGCCGGGATCTACTCGTCCTTCAGATATATATCCTCGGAATCATTCGAGTCAACATTTCCGACAATGGCTTCTCGATCCCCGCCAGTGGGTACTCCGCTGCTAAAATCCCCTGTGCCCGAGACGCCCTTCAAAGACGCGCCAACACCAGTACCACAAACAGTACCTTTTCCTTCACCACAGACCTTCGAGGTAATCCCACCATTGCATGGGATTCTTTCTCGCTTGCTCTCCTCCAAAGGTCAGCAAAGCGGTCCATCAGACGCACCTGGGGATACAACAGGTGTCCCAGGAGCTTCCCAGGCACAGACCCAACAAGCACCTTCGAACATCCCCAATGGCGGGCACAACGGCAACAATACATCATCACATGCCGTACCAGAAGTATCGGTCCTCGGTTCAAGCGCTCATCCGCCGCTCGATGTGAAAAACCTCCCTACCGAAACTAGCTCTGTCAGGATTCGAATCCAGAAGGCTCGTACAGTCGTCGAAGGGCTACCAGATGTGCATCGGTCTGTCAATGACCAACAAAGAGAAATTGCAGAACTAGAGGATCGTGTGAGACGTTTGCGCTCTATCATCTCTGACTTCGGGTATCGAGCAGGGATACCACATGAGGACACCACAAGGACCTTGGAAGCATAAAGCTCGAAACCAGAGGATCTCGGGCTACAATCGGAACTCCCAAGTTACCCAGGTGCTGCAGGATTTTGAGATTGATTTATTCGGCGTTTATAAGAAGGAAATACCCTGGTGTTTTTAGCGATCATTTCAAGATAGCAAAGGCTCCATCATTTCATGAGCTGTGGCAAATCTAGCAATTCGTACTCCTAGTTTCTCTTCTTTCTTTTTTTCAAGGAATTCATTCTTGTATGAACCTCCAGCCAATCTAGTTCGATTTGCCGCACCAATTTACAAATTTTATAGCCAAAACCCTAATCCGGCCAACCGTCTCCGATATCGTTCGGTGGGTTAAAGTTCAGGGCCTGAGGCAACGGAAGATCCCTCCCCCACCACTTGCATTTATTTTTTCCCCTTCTCTTCACCTACCATCCTCCATATCAATTTTTTCTGTTTACCTCATAAGACAGATTACCATACTTCATCATGTCTTACGCTCTTTCCGAGTCCCACCGGGACGTGAGTATCACAACTGCCCTCATTTTCAGCATCTAGATCGTTGACTCATCGATTATAGCAAATGCACAACTCCCTCGTGGCCAGTGATCCGGAGATTGCTGCCCTCATGGTACGTCGAAACTATATACCATTGAGACCTGCAGTGAAATGCATTGTCTCCACCAGAAAATTCGGCTGTGCTAATTCTTCTACTCGTACAGGAAAAGGAAATCCAGCGTCAGCGTGAGTCAATCGTCCTGATTGCCTCCGAGAACTTCACTTCTCGTGCTGTCTTCGATGCCCTCGGTTCGCCCATGTGCAACAAGTACTCCGAGGGTTACCCCGGTGCTCGTTACTACGGTGGCAACCAGCATATCGACGCCATTGAGATCACCTGCCAGCAGCGTGCTCTCAAGGCATTCAACCTCGACCCCGCCAAGTGGGGCGTCAACGTCCAGTGCCTTTCTGGTAGCCCCGCCAACCTCCAGGTCTACCAGGCTCTCATGCGTCCCCATGACCGTTTGATGGGCTTGGATCTCCCCCACGGCGGTCACTTGAGCCACGGCTACCAGACCCCCTCCAGAAAGATCTCTGCCGTTTCCACCTACTTTGAGACCTTCCCTTACCGTGTCGACCTTGAGACCGGTATCATTGACTATGACACTCTTGAGCGTAACGCCGAGATGTACCGCCCCAAGTGTCTGGTTGCTGGTACCTCCGCCTACTGCCGTCTGATTGACTACAAGCGCATGCGCGAGATTGCCGATAAGGTTGGCGCCTACCTCATCGTCGATATGGCTCACATCTCCGGCCTGATCGCCGCTGGTGTCATTCCCTCTCCCTTCGAGTACGCCGATGTGGTGACCACCACCACTCACAAGTCTCTCCGTGGCCCCCGTGGCGCCATGATCTTCTTCCGCAAGGGTGTCCGCAGCACCGATAAGAACGGCAAGGATATCCTTTACGACCTCGAGAACCCTATCAACTTCTCCGTCTTCCCTGGTCACCAAGGTGGTCCCCACAACCACACCATCACTGCTCTGGCCGTTGCTCTCAAGCAGGCTGACACCCCTGAGTTCAAGCAGTACCAGCAGCAGGTTATCAAGAATGCCAAGGCTCTCGAAGAGGAGTTCAAGGTTCTTGGTCACAAGCTCGTCTCGGACGGCACTGACAGCCACATGGTTCTCGTTGACCTCCGCGCCAACAACCTTGATGGAGCTCGTGTTGAGGCCGTTCTTGAGCAGATCAACATTGCCTGTAACAAGAACTCCATCCCTGGTGACAAGTCAGCCCTCACTCCTTGCGGTATTCGCATTGGTGCTCCCGCCATGACTTCCCGTGGTATGGGTGAGGAGGACTTCAAGCGCATTGCTCGCTACATTGATCAGTCTATCACCCTCTGCAAGAAGATCCAGAGTGAGCTCCCCAAGGATGCCAACAAGCTCAAGGACTTCAAGGCCAAGGTTGCCGATGAGAGCGTTCCTGAGATCCTTGCTCTTCGCAAGGATATCTCTCAGTGGGCCAGCACCTTCCCTCTCCCCGTTTAAATGGGATATTGAGGACGGAGTATGAGTTACGGAAAAAATAAAGAGGGATCTGAATCAGGATCCTACGAGTTCAACATCATTTCGTATAACAAAAGAAAAATACACGGGTGCGTTTTTAGGGGTTAATTACCGGTCTGCTTTTTCAACCTGACGCGGGTCATTGGGATATGGGAATGCTTTTTTGCATGTGAAACGAGCAATTGTTTTTTTTTTCGGCGGATGGGCCTCGCACTTATTCAACAGCGGGCTCACATGAATTTCTGAGGGGGAAAAAGTTCAACATTAATTGGGCGTCCTATGTACATTCTACAATCTGTTCTCAACACAAGGATCTCTAGAATCCAAGGATTATTTTCTTCTCTGCTTTATCTTTCCAAGGTTCCTGATACGGTCCTATTATCTATACATGTAAGAATAAGTCGTGTAAACCTTTTCTGGTTAGTTTTGCCCGACTTCGAGCCCTATACTTGGCGCGCGATATGGCCGTTGAAAGCACATAAACATTGTAGCGGCGCAGTGCCGTTATTGGCTTGTCCTGGTTCAAATCTTAGATAAAAAGTCTTTCGAAAAGTCCACCACAAAGACATTACTCGGCCGCATTAGCGGCCGAATATTCTTGTTCCTCATATTTAGATGGAGAAAGAGCGAACCGCTACGGATGTATGGATCTAGTAAATATTCATGCCTCAACGGAAACATCTCCGTGCGAATTCATTGTTCAAGATCCCTACTCCAACTATCCTCTGAATTTTTGACTGCATCATGCTATCAGTTCTCCCAGGCGCGTGAAAAGCTCACCATCCGCTCAGCCGCATCTGGCTGGCTGAGAATTTCGCCCATCGGGTCTTCTCCAAGATCCTCCTCCCATACTGTCTGCGGCTCGGAATTGGCCTTCAGGTTATTGTACAGGCACATCCGCAGGTGCCAACGAAGCAGGTCGGCGCTCATACGCCAGGTTCCACTCCGAGCAGAGTCTCTGAGACGGTTAGCACCAATTCCTGTAGGAACCGGTCCGAATACGATGATCTTGTAGTTAGCCTATGTTCACAACCATTAGTATATACCGCCAAAATATCGTATATGGAAAGTCTCACATCTGGGTCAATCCCTAGTTCGATACTATCAAATAGGGAGTGGATATCTGCGCTGAGGAGGAGTCCATTCTGAGCAGAGTATATACGTGACTTCCCGATCTCGGTCTCGGGGAGAGGGTCCGTGATATACTGCTGGTATCCATCTCGTCTCTACTCTTCCATACTGCTCACGGGGAATATATGTGTAGCATCAAGGTCGCGGAAAGGGTCTTTAAAACTGCTTGCCCTATTCTGCCCAGTGATTGCACAGCAACCGTCTCTTTGACGGAGGCTATTACGGAATTTCGTTTGCTATAGAAATGATTAGCACTGGCTGTTTATGTTTTTAGTCATTTCTACGTCTACTTTACCAGACGACTCCATTCACTCCGGCCCTGGGATTGGGAATCGGGGTCTTGAGTTCCGGTATCTTGAGTTCTGACACGGCGGGGCGCATAGTTGGTTGTCAGCTCGATTAATTGGTGCCCTAGCTATACGATTCTCAATCTTGGAAAATTTAGTTATGAGACGTATCAAACACACTTAGATCCAAACCCATGTAGTTACCAGGCGCCACCGAAATCCCACTGTTAAGCTGGAGTGCAGTGGTACCTTGTGTGTTATTGGCTCCTAACTTATAAAATTCCCGCTCGCTTGGGTTATGAAAGACGAATGTGAATGAACAGTATCGATAGAGCATCTCCGGAGAGATATGTCGATCTTGTTGGGCAGTTGGGATTGCCAGGGCTATAACAAGGCTGTATTAGTCGCACTGGTTCCTATGAGGCTATCGTGACTTACAGGCAAGAAGAGCGCCGTTGCTATTATAAACCTGGAGGTTTAACTGCGGGTACCTTTGTGATTGAAGAACAAGAGCTGGCATAGCTGTTGCCATATTGGAGCTGATGAATAGAGAAACATAGAAGCAGTTATACTCCCCAATTAGGTTAGCTTGGCTCTGATGTCATCCGTAAATTCCTCAGGTGTCGATGTATAGAATATAAGTCAGCCAGACACTCCATCTAGTTATAGAGAGAAGTACCTGTCAGCTTGTGTTCCCGTCTTTTTTGGCAACTGACCTCGATATCGGGTTTATATCAGGATCAGAAACCGTGGGCTTACCATTGGAAGGGGTTGGGGGTTGCCTCTTCCGAGTGTTTGTCTATAAGCTAAGGATGGAATAGTTAGAATAAATGAAATGTAAGTGAGGAGGAAGTGGGAGATACCAATGAACTGTACCGGGGTTGCACTGGCAGTACAATGTAAACAAGACGCGGTTGCATAGTAGAATAGTAGAAAGTCAAAATTTACACCACACACCAGCCACGGCAGGTATGAAACCAAAATGTCGATTTATAGATGATAATTAGAACGATGACTTCCAAAGAAAGCAAGAAATAAGAGCAAATAGCAAGTGAGAAAACGCAAGTATTTTGATGGAGTGCGCAAGTGATCTGTACCGGATACCGTACCGCAGCCTGCAGACCCAACAGCCAATGAGAAGCGCGTATTTGTATATAAACCTCACTTTTATCACATCAACTATGCTTCAACAACTTCAAAAATTGCTTTGTAATAATCAAGGGATTAAAATATATAGGTGTGAGATACAAGATGTAGGGTTTTTTGACTACTCCGTATGTAAAGTAGAAGTCTGGCAGAATTAAATTGATACCTTCTATGTAAGGCAGAAGCAGGCAGAATCAGGCAGAAGGGGGGGGGGCGGTACATTTAGACGTCCACGTGAGCTCCGGATAACTCAACCTTGGAAGGTTCCTCGTTTTCTCTCTCTCTATTCCTCTCTCTCTCGGTCTCCCGAGATTTTGTTTTTTTGCTCTTTTCTTTTCATCTCTTGCCCTTTAACTCTCGTTACTGCACTGCTTTACAATCCCCACGGCCTTCCTGAATTTGGCCCCTCATTAGAGTTCCAGGCTCCATCGATAAGGACGCAATATCTTATCGCTCCGGTCCCTCACGGAGGGCATATACTTAGATCAATCTGCGTTTGATTAAAAACCGGAAACAGTGCAGTACATCTTGAAGAAGTCACCGGCGAACCAAGAGAGAACAGGACCTTGCCCGACATGGCGAATACCGCCCAATGCTACTATTGCTTTGAGTCTCTCCTCGCTTCATTCGAGGATCGCGAGCCCACCACTTTGGCAGCCGTAGAGGCTCTATGGGAACAGCACGAACAAACTAAGAAGTTTTCGAGTCTTGAAGAGCAAATTGAAGAGGAAGATACAGGCCGTCAGCAATCCGTAAATGAACTAGACGAAGATGACGATAGCCACCAATCGTCCCAGTCAAGTAGTCAACCCACGAAGATGAAACTCCGCAGCATCAGTCGTCTTCAGAGCCAATTCTCTACCTCTTCCAGCATAGCCACGTCTTCGTCGGCCGCATCCAATACATCTTCCATCTCACTACAGTCGAGCTCAACCAATATCACCACGCCAAGTGTGGTTTCCGAGACCCCCCAGCTGAGATCGCCTGATCAGCGATATCCCCTGTTCGTGACATGGAACACCCTATCACGAAGCGGACACAAGTCTCTACGCGGGTGCATAGGCACATTTGAGGCACAGGAACTTGCAGCGGGGTTGAAGTCCTACGCTTTGACCTCGTACGTGTGTTCCGATTGAATACCCCTCTCTCACTACAACGCTACAAGCAACGGTACACCCCTATCTATAGATCGGACTGACTCACGTGAGATTTTGTTTTAGGGCCTTCGATGATACGCGTTTTGAACCCATTCCTAAATCTCTCCTCCCCTCACTGTCGTGCTCTCTTACCCTCCTTGGGTCCTTCGAGCCGTGTACAGATGCCATGGACTGGTCTCTAGGCACTCATGGGCTGCGGATCTCCTTCATCCACCGCGGCCGTCGCTATGGTGCCACGTATCTCCCTGACGTCGCTGTCGAGCAGGGCTGGACCAAAGAAGAAACCGTGGAGAGCTTGATGCGCAAGGCAGGCTGGGATGGTGGTAGCAGCAGTACTGCACGGAGACTGCTACGCGGTGCAACTGATGGGAACTCCAGCGCCACACAGCCTTGGGACCAGGTCTCGGATTTCCGTACTGTGAGATACCAGGGCCTCAAGGCAAGCGCTAGTTATTCAGAATGGCAGGAATGGCGAGAGTGGGTTCTCGCCCTAGATGACGGGGAGGAAATCCTGGAAGGCGCGGATTAGACCGCTTTGCTTCTTGTCCCACATCTCAATGCTCCAATTGGAACTGATGATTATAATGACCAAGATGATACGCTTCTTTCGTGGGTTTTCGATGAACAACTTTTCGGTCTGGGTGTTAATAAGGAATGACAATGGTCCGAGAATTCACGGTTGTGATGAGAATTTGATATGGTATCTCAGCTCTATAAAGATAGACAAGTGTTTTAAACCGAGAATTATCCGAGAATTATTAATTATAAACACTGGCATCATTCATTGTATTGATAATAATGTGATAATGCAGACATTGCAAAGGAACCCAAGCGAAGGAAAAGCCTCAGACCATAGAAGAGCAGCCAGTGATTGTCCTAAATCCGAATCCGAACATCCCTACAGCAGAAACACGGCATTGACAAAAGCCGATACATATCCATACATTCTACCGAGGGGTACGGCTCCACAAACCAGCAACCATCTCCTTGACTCTTCGCTCCTGGGCCCGGATCTGCTCCTCAGTCTGCCCGCGCGCATTACCACGGCTATCAATCTGCATCTGAGCCCCGCCAGCATTGGCCGGTGCAGGCGGAGGGGCATGGTGCTCCTCCTCGGTGATATCATCCCCATTGACACGCTCAGGCTTGGGATCAACGCTCAAAACGCCGTCCATCATGAAGCCACCGCCCTCGCGGAGCTTATTGATGGCACGCACGGTGTCGATAGCACGGTGCAGCGTGCGGCGCGCGTTGAAGTTCTTCTTGACCGTTGGCAGCAGGTCTTCGCCCGAGCCGACCTTGCCGCTGTCGGATGCCTGGTTGACCCAAGGGTGCTGGAGAGCTTCATGGGCTGTCATCCGTGACTGCGGGTTGACTGTCAGGCAGCTGTTGATAAAGTTGCGCGCTTCCTGCGATACACCACGCCAGTACTCAACCGGCGTGAAGGAGTAGTCTGCTGCTAAGATTGCTTGCATCTCTTCGAGATTGGAATCCCGGTCGAAGGGTGTGTATCCACAAAGCAAGAAGTAGGTGATCACGCCGATGGCCCAGATATCGCTGGAAGAGGATGGCTGTTAGTAAAAGATAAAGAGACCGTAATGTGATGACTTACACTGGCTTGCCATGACCGCTCTTTTTGAAGATTTCTGGTGCCATGTATCCTGGCGTTCCGCAGGTTGTAGTCAGGACATGGAACTGCTCCTCGTCCATGATCCTCGACAATCCGAAATCGGCAATCAAAAGATCGGCGTTGTCTTCTGGCGTGCGGAAAAGTAGGTTTTCCGGCTTTAGATCACGGTGCACGATCCCGTGGTCATGCAGATAGGCCACGGCAGAGAGCACTGCGCGGACGAGGTCTGCAGCGTCAGACTCATAGTAGCTGCCTTTGCGACAGATGCGGTCAAATAGTTCCCCGCCCAGCGCGAGATCAGTGACAAGATATACTAGAGAGCACTCGTTAGTGAGGGTGTAGCTGGAGCTATCATGGAAACACACAATTGTTCATCGTCTCGAAGTAGTCGACCAGTGTGAGGATGTTCTGGTGGCCCAGTGACACCTTCTTCAATACCGCGATCTCATTCCGGACCTGTATATTTCGGAAGACGTCAGTCCATACTCTTGTCTTCGTAGTCGTAGTTCTACCGGCATACACACCATATGCTCCCGCCCGGACATGAGACGCTTGTTGATGACCTTCGCCGCATAATAGCGACCGGTATCGATGTGCACACATTCCTTCACAACAGAGTACGAACCAGCGCCCAGTGTCTTCCCGGTCTTGTATCGGCACGGTTGGACCTTCGGCTTCTGGCCGCTCGGGGGTTGTGCCGCCATTGCGAATAAAACCAAGTGCGGGATGCGCGACGCGAATTGTGGGGGGATGGGGAAGTTGTGCGATGCAAAGCGTGAGTGAAGGATTGAGCGCAGTGGTAAAGGAGTTCGACTCGGTGATGCGCTATATATGCCTATCCTTATGTACCTGCGCAATCCAAAGTCAGCCTCGCCGTAAAGTGGCGCAGGAGTCCAGTGCGAAGACCTAAGGTGAGAGTGCGCAAAAGATACTCACAGTTGGGCGACAAAGCCTGATTACAGCTATATGGGCTTATGGTTTCCTCGGCGGTCTTATGATGTTTTCCGAGGGGCTGCGGGGGTTTGAAGTCGAAGATGGGGAATCCCGTTGGCGGGGCGGCTGCTGAAACGTCAGATGAAACTATCAAACAACTCAACTCCAACAGCGTTGGCAGTTGGAATAGAAAAATGAATGAATAGAAAGTTGAATTAAAGGCCGAGATAAATATCAACGGCGCGATTATAGGACAGGGCATTTCTGCCCAGTTGGCTAGTTACATTTGCCCCAACACCAGCCCAATGCAAAAAAGAAAACTCATAGAAAATGGTACATTCAAAATCGTTCCAGCACTTCCTCGACAATGTGCTCCAATAGTTGTAGCTTGTGGAATTTGGCTACGCTCTCCAACACTTGTAGTTTCTTCTCGATCTCCTTCCGATCAACTGTCGCAGTCCATGTACCACTGCAAGAACAGTGCTCCATGAAATCACTGATCTTAGGATTATTGCACTTCGAGCACTTGATATCCTGCGTCTGCCATTCAACAACAAAACCATGGACTTGGCCAATGAGAAATTCTTCAGTTGCCAGTCGGTCGTACTCGGCATGACAGAAAGGGCATCGCCAGGGCTGGGCAGATTTGCTGGCTTCTGAGCTGGCATCAGGCAAAACATCTTCGTCGCGACAGAGGTCGAGATCCCGAATAAGGCAGCACGAGTTGCAGGACATTTCCGGCAGCTTCAAGCTACCACTAGGGTTCTCGAATCGGCCCTCCTTGCTGAATTCTCGGACCTCGAAAAGGGCAAGAAGCTCGCGCCGCAGCAACCGGGATTCCAGGGTTGTTGTCTTGGACAAACTCAGAACCTGCATCAGCAGTTTGGCCAACTCCAAGGATGGGTTGCGTTTGTCCTTGCGGCCGACTAGAACTCCTGGTAAAACGGGGAAGGCATAGTCGGATGCAAGCTCAGGGTGGAGCATCTCATCGCGTTGTCTGCGGATCAACCCCGAGATTTGCTTCTTCAATGGCTTTGAGAATCGATCAGAGAGAATTGCAGTGATCTCCTCATCGTCTGCTTCGTTGGCCCGTCCGATGGGAATCTGTGTTGGCCGAGGAGTTGACAGATCCCCGTCTTCGAGTTCCGGCCGTTTCAGGCCGTGCATCAGCTCGATGTACTCGACAATCCAGTCATGGAAGATAGTCTGCATGGGCATTGGCAGGAACCGGCTAAGCTGCCAGTGCATCGCTGTCTCGAGGTCCTGTTCGTCGGCCTCAGTGACCTCTCGACAGCCCTTGCCTCCGTAGTTGTATTCATCATACCAAACGAGGTAGTCCCAGTACTCCTTGATCTCTAGATCGATAAAGTGGAATGAAGGGTTAGCGCGGATTGACTTGAGGACATACTGGCTGTAGGCGTAGGCGTTGCCGACCTCGGTCTTGGTCGTTTGGAGAAGGAGGCGTGTAGGGCTGGCAAAGATGACGTGGGAGCCAACACGTCTGAACTCTGCCATCAATCTCTGGAATGACCTCCGTGACAGTAATCGCACGTAGTTGTGTAGAGACCTGTCATAGAGACAGGACACAGGGCTTTCCACCCATCGAATCAGATGCTGGACCATAATATCGGCCATGCTGTTGCCTGCACAGGCCTCTGTCCACCAATGTTTGACCATCTCTCGAAGAACGACAACGCCGGCAGAGGCAAATGCTTTCTCTGAATAGAAAACACCAGTATCTTCACCGTCTCCAGAAGGAGCAAGTAGCGTATCACTGCCGTCCATTTCGTTGATGATAGAAGATGTCAGAATCGTATTGATCGACAAATTGCGAACCTCGAGTTCAATGCACACTGTGGAGTAAGCACCTGGTACATTGACAGATGGCATATTGACCTTGTCCAAGGCACCTAGGATGTCATCCCTTTCATAGCCCGCGTGATCAGGACGCGGGCCTGATGACCACCAGAGCACCACATTTTTTTGTTGCAGCCGTCTAGCGTACGAGATATCGATGAGATACCGAGGATCCTCACTTTCCAGGTTGCAAAGCGGAACATCACCGAACCGAGCGAGCATGGTCAAGTGCTGGATCCAAGAAGACAAGTATAAATAGCGCGTGACTAGACGTCTTGCAACGAATGCCTGCCAGCCAAGTGGGGGAAGTTCCATATCCGAAGCTTCGGGCTTCACGGACAATAATGGATACTCCTTCAGGATCGGAATATCGTGACACAGGCGGTCTTTTTGTTGGGATTGAATGACAAGAACGGCAGGCTGACTCTCATCATTTCGAATCTTTCTGATCAGATCACCGACCTCAAGGTGAGCCTTCCTGCGCGTCATCACTTGCGTAGTTTTGAAATGGATATTATCCTGGTAGTCGAACGCATGCTGCGATTCATCGCCTGATGCAGCCTGTATCTTACGTGTGAGAAGCTCGGTGTAGATTTTATCGACGTTGGGAAGACCCTGGACATCCCTCGTGCGGTTGAGAACGATAATGTGCGCCTCATTTTTGGCAGTCGAGAATATCGCGAAGACTTGTCTATCCCCAGAGACAATGTGATACAGGTAGTGGAACACTAATGACGAGTCCATCAGATAGGGCTGCTCGGAAGATGTGTGAAGTAATGTCGAAAGGTCGAAACCCTTGTCCAAGCCGTCACCTAGGACACCGCGTTGCTCTTCATCGAAGGTACAATGGCTTCCTAACTTGAGCACTGCTCGAGTGCTTAGCGGGATGTTTCCCTCGTAAACACCCTCAACGCTAGGGTGCTGGAAGAGAATATCCATCTTGTCGGCTTCTGCTAGATAATTCTCTTCTGACAAAGACAGCTTGAACAAGTAAACAGAGGGATGCCCGTTCGGTAGGGTATGGTTGACCTTCTCGACTTCGCAGTCTGGAACGTCAATGTCCGGCAAAGAGTCCCGTTTCAAGTTCAAGAAAAATTGCCGTGGAACTCTGACACTGAGGGCATGGATCTTTTGGTCAATCAACACAAACGCTCGCACAACTCCCGGAACGCCCGTCTCGCAAAGCTGCAGAACCTGCCATGTGCTGATGTACAGCATTTGGGCTTGATTGCGGAAGAAATTACTCAAAGAGTCCGAAGCAACGTTGCTTCGTTCGCCAAACAGCTGACGACGGCGAACCCGTGCTTGTTTTTGGATCTTCCATTTTTGCTTCTGATACTTGAGAAATCCTTCATAGTTATCAGACATCGATGGCATAACTGCTGGCAAGCTAGCGAAGGGGTCAAGAGCTGCATTTGAAGCATTTTCTGGGTGCTTTCTCTTCTGGGCGACCTTGGTGGGCGTTTTGGATTTTTGAGTCGAGCTCGCGATTGCTTCATCTAGATCGCCAGCATACTGAACGCGATGGTCAAGTATATTTGCATTCGTCGACGAAAGTGGCGTCTTCTCGGACTTGCTAAATAGATCAGTCATCTTCTTTTGCTTGAACCTGTCATCCTTCGTGTTGATCCGACGTTGCAACCAATCAGGGTGGGCAACCCGGGGCACTGGATTTCGAAGCTTCTGAAGCGCAGCCGGAATGGTAATCAACTTCTGGATCACGGATCCTAAACGCTCTAAGTAATAGTCCCAATCGATAACCGTTCGAGGATCCATATCGCCGGGGTCTTCTTTTAGCCATTTTCGCAAGAAGAATCGCTTGATGTTCTCTTCAGCTGAAAATATAGCGACAGGAATGGCTCTTTCAGTGACAGGTGTATTCCGTGGGCGTGATGAGATGATGTACTTGCAGTTGAGACCTTTGTCCTTTACCATCTGTTCACCCAAGAACTCTGCCAGGCGTTTTGCCGTCGTGATGGATGTGGACTTTTGGGAACCGTACTCTTCCAAGGTCTTGGACATGCTTCGGTTTTCCGAAATGAGATCGATCAACTCTTCATCGGCCAATGTCGTTCCATGTTCGTATAAAACATCTAACCACCGGTCCGCAACTCGAGCAACAGCGGCGTAGGTCTCGGCAAGATTAGAGCCCTCTAGGAAGAATTTGAAGAGCTGGGTCTGGAAGATCTTAATCAACTTTAGCTCTCCTCTTCGTTTAACTTCGAATCCCTTGAGTTCAGCTAAAGAACCATCGTGATTGAAGACTGCATATCGTTTCTTCAGGTTCTTGTCTTCCTCCTTCGATGTTGGTAAAATCATTGCCCGGTACGGTCCATCCACTTCGAAGAAGATTGAATTTTCACTGTGAGTCTCATACTTGAAAGTTTTCGGGTCGACAAGTGCCTGGTACTGGTGATTGGTGTATCTTGCATGGACGAGGTGGTTGAGCATGACACAAGGGTATGAGATACCCAATTTCTTCCCATTCTTCAGAGTGAAGGAGAAGTTATCTGGGAACCCTCCAGGAAGCATACACCAAATACCATCAGTATCCAATTCCAGGGGACGACCGATGCGTTCGACAAGCTCTCTTGCCATCTGAATGATGTGAGCGCCTGTCAGACAAGTGACACCAGCCATTTCCATGGAATACCACCGAGAGCCCTTTCGCATCACATATCCGTAGAAACTATTGAGAATGACCTTGTGCGCAAGCTGAAGAGAATCGTACAGAATAATCATCTTCTTCGCTTGCTCGATCTCAGCGGCTGAGCCGCCCGACGACTGCAAACTATCGGCTTTGTTTTTCCAGGATTTTTGCTTGCCCTTGAAATCATATCGTCGGTCACGGAAATCTCTGACAGTATCGACATAGAATGGATTTTCTCTTTGGCAAATGATGGCCTCTCGCTCCATTGTCTTGCTATCGTGAATCTTGTGGTAAATCTTCTTGCTGTAATCCTGCAGCCGTTTCTTGACCACTCCAGCCTGCTCTTCGATGCTCAATTCACCGAATGACCTCATTGGGGAGTTCGGGTACCGGCCTGGGAAACGTTCATTTGCTGTGGCACGTCGGATCATGTTATATTCATCACGTTTGGCAGGCAAGAATTCACCTCGCCATGCCCAAGGCATGCGTCTATCGCAGGTTTTTCCGGGTCGGTTGAAGTCGCAGGCGGCACAATTCGACTCATCAATCAACGAGTCTGGTTGCAATCGGTTGGTGATCATGATGTTAGGATACATGGAGGCGACGTCTAAATGGTAAATGAAAGGCACTTCGTTTCGGACTGGATTTTTCTTGAGATCGAGCAAACGCTCCACGATTTGCGCCCTGACCTCATCATAGTTCACAACATCGTCCATGCTTTTTTTCTCTTCAACCTCGATACTGAATTTGAGGGC